AACTCTGAGTCCTGACCGTAAAACTATGTCATAAAAGTAAAACTCTGGGTCCTGACCGTAAAACTAAGTCATAACGGTAAAACTCTGGGTCCTGACTGTAAAACTAAGTCATAAAGGTAAAACTCTGGGTCCTGACTGTAAAACTCCAGACTAAACATCAGTTGTAAAACTAGCAGAGTCTGCCATTTTGTGTTTGCTAAGGCCGATTAGCAGTGGTGGCCATTTTGAATCAACTGCCGAAAATAATGAACTTAAATTAGCTCCTGGTTTCGGCTCGGGTTCTTCTCCAATTGTTTGACCTGTTTTTATCGTTCAAAGCCAGATGGTTCTGTTAGTTTGGGCTGTGAACCGGATGGTTCTGTTCGGGCTGTGAGGCTGATGAACTCATCAGTAAACCTGCAGACGAGGTGATTACAAACAGCGACTTCCTTCATTTAAATTTAACTCACGGGTTAAAGACCACACCAGGTGAATCTGTTTGGATTCATCCGCCACAGAAAATAGGCCCAGTTTGGACCAGAGGTTCTGCTGGTTCTGATCAGTTCAGGTTTCTCTTGACAAGATTAAGAAGTAAGACTTGCAGTGCCAAACATTTGGACCAGCGAGGTGGAGGAACCTCACATTCATTCCGACGCCTCTTTACAGTTCCTTCTGAATCCAACTAGAACCAGAACCATCAGAAAATCTAGGTTCTGTTCTGTCACAGACACCAGAACCATAAGAGTCCAGGTTCTGTTCTGGTGAAACCAGGAGTCCGTTGCTCATCTAGCAGCTCCATGTTTTCCCAGGTCCAACTCAGAGCAGAACCTATGCAGCGGCCCGGTCCAATCAGGCGTAAAAGATGAGTTCTGGGATCTGGCCTCCTTGCACTCCGGTTCCGTTGGTGCTGTCCGAGGAGCACTGGAACTGGAAGGTTACCTTCCCACACTGGACCTCCGTCATGCCCTCCTGACCAAAGTAGCTGAGCTCGTTCCCGTCCAGAACCACGCTGGCCGTGTAGAAGGTGTCGGGTTCTATCTGAACCGGGTAGTCGAACCAGACGGGGAAGGTGCTGCTGGACCCGTCTGAGAAGTACTTGATGATCCTCTGGGCCATGGGCACACCCTGACGCTTCAGCTCAATCTTGGCGCTGTACTCGGCAGAACCGCAGCTGGACCCGTACAGGCCGAAGCCGGCGATGAAGACCCGTTTGTCTACGGCGAACTGGATGCTGTCACAGCGGCCGCGGTACCGCCACTGGTTGCTGCGGTAGGCGCAGGACTGGAAGCGGTGGCAGCGCTGCGGCGACAGGCCCTTCCGGGGTTTGGTGCAGAACAGGAGGTCCGGTTTCTTGGAGGCCGTGTACCACAAGAAGATGTCGTTGGTTTCGTTGAGTGTCAGAACACCGGACTGCGCCGCTCCGTTGGCAAATTCCTCCAGCGCCATGGTGGGGATGCGGATCAGGTAAATAGCTTTTCCCAGAACCAGCCGCTTGTTCTCGATGGTTGGCTCCAGGTCTTGCCTCTGGCACTCGACCTCGGCCCAGTTCAGCGCCGCCTCAAACACCACCATCTCCTTGGCGTTGAGCGTCTCCCGCCGCAGGATGCTCTCCAGCGTCTGGACGTCGATGTCACAGAACCCTTCAGATCGCAGCGCCAGCTCGGCCTGGGCGTCGATGACCTCCCAGCAGCGCTGGGTCAGGTCCGGTTCCTCGAACAGGCAGCTCTGGGACAGCAGAACGCAAGCGTTCTTGGCACTCAGGCTCGTCTCCAGGAAGTTGACGCAGGCCCGGGCCAGATGAGGAACGATGTATTTCTTGGCGGCGTAGAGAGTGGCGAGCACCGTGTCGGCACACAGGTCGATCTCATCGCAGTAGATGTACCTGCGGGGGAAAGAAACCCGGTTCACACCGATCCATTAAGAGTTCAACCAAACAGAACCAAAGCTCTACGTACTTCAACATGGCCAGGAACGACGGCGGCTCCACATCAGGGATCCGGATCTCCTCCTGATCCTCGGCCAGTTCTCCGTAGAACATGGCGTGGAACACAGAGCTGCCCACAGCCAGGACGTACTGTCGGGTCGGAGGGACAAACACTTAGCACCTGTCAATCACCGGAGCTTCATGAGTGAAGAGGAGGGCTTACCTTGTGACCCGGGACTCGCTGGGTCCCTCCTGGTGGTCCGACCACAAAGTGAACATCTGCCATCATCTCATTGTTGAACATGACTGAATTCCTTCAAACGCAGAAACAGAACTTTGAGTATGGGTTTCGTGAGTTCATGAGGTGACCAGTCGGACCAAGTCCACCAGAACTCGGTCTCTGGTCAAACTCTGAACGGTGGTGGGTCACATGCATTCTTTTTTATTTACATTTCCCTCCGTGGATCCAGACCTTCACAGATTCTGTTAAAGCGGTTCTGGATCAGCAGTTCTCGATGAATGGGTCAGGACTTTTCACCACGTCAACATTTAGTTTTAATAGTTAATAAATATAGATAATTGAGAACATTCAACAAGAACTGCACCAGTCTGGTTTAGTTCTGTGGATAAACTCCTGTAGACCTGGTCCTAGCGGTCCCCCCTCTGTCCAGGACTCGCCTCTCCCGGATGGTCAGGATCTGACCCGGTCCCACCCCCCACACGGACCGGACTCACCTCTCCCGGATGGTCGGGTACAGGCCCTGCCAGCTGCAGCAGCCCTGCGCGGTGTTGTTGTTGCTGACGTTCTGCTGCTGGTTCTGATTCTGGTTCTGGATGGAGGCGGACACCAGATTCTTGGTGGGGAACAACTCTGCAGCCATCCTCAGCCAGTCAGACCGCAGGACGGATCATGGCAGTACCGAGACCCGAACCGAACCGGTCAGACACACAGAGCAGCCGAACTCCATAAATCTGACGGCTATTAGCTTCAGGCTAACGTTAGCCTCCCGAACCTAGCAGCTTGATCCTCCGCCGCTTTAAACCAAACATCGACTGAAGTTTCCGACAGTGAAGCTCGTGAGCAGCAGCTCAAACACACAAAAAAACACATTTAAGCTCAAATTAAACAATATTTTTTAACAGAACCTAGAAAAATAGGTACGTTTTGTTTACAGACCGAGGACTACAAACTCGACAGCCAATCAAAAAAAATCCCCGCCCATTTTTCTTCTTCTACTTTTAATTTAATGTGGAAGTCAGACATGAGATCACAGCGCCACCTGCTGGTTTTCTCGGCCTTGTAAACCTCTGCCCATCTTTACATCCGACAGATTCAGCCTCTTTTCATACCCAGTCTGTTGATTATTAACCGGATGAGTTATAAGATGCTCCAGCTCTGTTTTTATATTTTATCCTTCAGTAAACTGTGGACTACCTCCCCAGCAGGCTCAGATCAGGGATTTTAAAATAAACTCTTAAAATGTTTATTTTAAAAACATAAAACTTTGTAGAAACAATTGATCTGAACAAACATAGTCCTCGTTTTTTTTTGTTGTCAGTGAATAAATCCAAACATCCCTCTGAGGTGATAAAATATAAATCAATCTCAAATGCAGACGTGAGATCCTCATGTGCATCACACGACCAACAACAGTTTGACTAATTGGACTTTTCTCTATTCCGCACAGTGAAATACATTTATACGAATCAGCTGCTGCTTTTTAGTAGAATAAATTGCCAGCCCTGAATGCAGCATCACCTTTGTGCACATGGAGGTAAGAAAGTCTCGAAAGTCACATTCACAGGCAGTCGCTCCGACCGCAGCAGGTGATTCGTGCACGTGTATGACTTTGTTTGTGCAGAATATTGACATGTGTCCATTAGTAAAACTTGAGGATCTTACTCTCATCTCGTGACTCGTTTTGAGACCGATGCATGTTCACAGATAAAAAGGAGCTCCGTGTTCAGAACAGAAACCTGCCAGCGTCACAGCGTTTCTTTTATTGTTCCCATAAATGAGCCACGCTCGCATGTGGAAGAAACAAAACTGAACAAGAAGTGAAGTTTCTGTACAGCACCAGCAGCTTTACATTTGAAATTTACTAAAAGATTTAACAAATGAGCAGAACCTGGATCAGTTCTCCGTCTGATGGTTCAGACATCGTCATCCAGCTCAGGTTCCTGTTTCTGTCTGTAAAGGCAGAAGTGTTATCAGGCAAATGTCAGTTTACAGAACGCTGCTGAAATAAATCCTGATGGGAGAGCAGATCCATCAGCTGAACACTTCTCAGGTGAGAGCAACATGGAGACCCTTCAGCGGAAATAATTCATCACAAAAACAACAAAGATATCCAAAAATCTGAACAGATTCAATCATTTAAACAGCTTTCATTAAAAAAAACCTCAGTCTTGTTTTAACATTGCTATTTTTCTTTCTCTAGAACATGTAAACTTTATGAAGTTTATTTAAAACAAGCAGATCCGCTGTGGGTAACCTCACAAAGAAACCATCTTTAAAGTTTTGTTTATTTGGTTCAAATCTGTTCAGAATCATAGTGACAGAAACAGAATATTGTTCTAATTTCACCTGAAGCTAAAACGGTTCACTTTGGATTTATAAATTCAACATTTTCTGGATCAAACTGGACCAGAACCCTAAATGTCACCGCATGAAGCAAAAACCACAACAAACAAAAAAAAAAACAGATTTAAATAGTGTTTTTTTTTAACAAACATTTAGAAATTAAAAAAATTGTTTAAATATGTCCATGATTTCCCCTTTTCCACCTGGTTAATAAATATTCATTAGTTTCTTCTTTTTTTACAAGATTCAGACAAAATAAAATCTCTGAGATTAACGTTTCAAAATAAAAGCATGTTGTAGTGTTGAGAGGTGAAGTCGTGAACTTTTCAAGTAAAACAGAATAAAAAACATCTTTACCTGCATCTGAAACATCAAACATTTAGAAAACTACTTAAGTCTGAATATTTACACTAAATCCATCGTTTCCAGGACGTTTCCAGGACGTTTCCAGGACGTTTCCTGACGGAAGCCGGGCAGCGCACGTGAGCAGCTGTTGATGAGTTTGTTTACATCAATCAGCTGATTCATCTCTCCTGGATTATTTTGGCCCCTTAATAAATAAAAATAAAACTGAAATCTTGGCAGCAGGAGTTCCTCTGCAGCTACTTTACCACAGAGCACTAAGTCCAGAACCGACTCCAGAACCCGTCAAAGACCCGAAGAGGATGAAAACTGGTTCCGTTCGAGTCAGGTTTGATAAACGATAAACAAATCCGAAGGTTTGTGTTCAGGAGAAGAAACTCGATGGCTGACTCTGTTCCAGAAGACTGAATCCAACCGAGTTCTGGTTGTTCTGGCTCATTTCAGCTCAGGTTTGTTGTGTGTCTGACTGTACTTCTGGAATCACAGAGTCACAGAAATCCAGTCAAACTTTATTGATTCAGTCTGCTTCCTTTCTGTAAGCAAACTCTGAAATCCCATTTTGTGAAAATCTGCAGGAAGTTTTTTTTTTTTGTAGATTTTTGTCTGGACGTGAATCAGAAACACAACCAACACGTCAGCAGCTGAATCCAACCAGATCAAAGCTTTAAACCGTTTGAAGCTCAGAGGGGCTCTAAAGTTTGACCTCTGTCCGCCTGTAGGGGGTGTCGGCTAAAGATAGGACTGATTTAGTTCCAGACTGCAGGAAGAACTTCGGACAATAAATCATCAAACTGAGGTCAGTTGCACCTTCTGGTTCGCATCTGAGCATCACCACAAAAAATGATGTAAAGAAAAAAAAGGCACATTTAAAACCAAAAGTTATTTAAAGACAACGCGACCTCTGAGAAGACACCCACCACAAAAGATGCCAACGATTAGAGAGGTTACCAAGTAGAGACGCCACGACCTCCAAGACGATGCCAACTTCTGAGATGCCACCAACCTCTGAGATGACAAAACCTCTGCAATGCCACCAATCTCTGAGACACCAGTGACTAGAGACGCTACCAACCTCTGAGATGCCACTGACAAGAGACGCTACCAACCTCTGAGATGCCACTGACAAGAGACGCTACCAACCTCTGAGACGCCACTAACCTCTGAGACACCAGCGACTAGAAACGCCACCAACCTCTGAGACACTACCGACCTCTGAGACTACAAAACCTCTGAGAAGCCACCAACAAGAGACGCCACCTACTTCTGAGATGCCACTAACCTGAAACACCAGCTATTAGAGACGCCACCAACCTCTGAGATGACGAAACCTCTGAGACGTCACCGAATTTTGAGACGAGACCAACCTTTGAGATGCCACCAAAAAGAAACACCACCAACCTCTGAGATGCCACCGACTAGAGACGCCACCAACTTCCGAGACGACGCCAACCTCTGAGATGCCAGTGACAAGACACCACCAACCTCTGTGATGCCACTGACCTCTGAGACACCACCGACCTCTAAAACGCCACCAACCTTCGAGATGCCACAAACCTCAGATGACAAAACCTCAGACGCCACCAACTTCTGAGACGCGAGCGAGTCCTAGAGATACCACCAACCTCGGAGACAACAAATCCTCTGAGATGACCAAACGTTTGAGATGGCAAAACCTCTGAAATGCCACCAACCTTTGAGACACCACCTAGAGACGCCACCGACCTCTGAGACGACAACCTCTGAGATAGCGACAACCTCTGAGATGCCCCTAACCGCAGAGAAGCTGCCAATGTCAGTCTGTTTGGGTTTAGGTTTTGGGTTGAGATACGTTTATACAGAAAAACTTCAGATTCCAGTTTGTCCCCGTTTTAATGCTGTGCCTTGTTTCATTAATTCCTTTAGAGTCTGCTGGTTCTGGGACTTGGGCCAGCCCAAATCCAGAGGGGTGGAGCTCTGAGGGGTTCTGATGGAGAAATCAAGATGATCTGAGGTTACATCGTCTGTCTCCAACCCCCCACCACAGTCTCCACTCATCCTCCTAGCTCCAGGTCATACAAAGACCTTGGCGAGAGCGTCGGCACCAGCACTGCCGATGTAACACTTAGTGGGGTGGAACGCCACATCATGGATGGACTCCTCAAACTTTTTGCGGTGGGCAGTGAACTCCTGGATGCAGGTCTTACTCTCCATGTTCCACAGACGAATGGAGCAGTCGTGACCTGCGAAGGTAACCCAGTCAGAAGGTAAAACAGACACTTCCTGTCACCAAACAAAAGAAATTCTGACAAGAACAGCTGAATGTTTAACAATGTTAACAGAAGTGATCATAACCTTACTATTTTACATAAAAAGTATATGTAAACACCTAAATACAAAAATCAGTTTGGATGAAGACTTACTGCCTGACATCAGGTACAGCCCGTTTGGATCCACAGCAAGACATGTGACAGAGTCCAAATGGGCGACCATGGAGTGGATCAGTTTACCTTCAGTCAGAAACACAGCAAACAAAAACAAACTAATCTTTAATCTCAAACAACAAATTAAAGAACCAGAAAACAGAGACTGCCAGTAAGAAGACAGAAAACTCTCAGAAATCTGTTTAAAATCCAACAGAACTGAGTCCCACCTGTGTTGTTATCGAAGAACTGGATGCAACGGTCCTCCTGAGCTGTGATGGTGATTGGCAGTGTAGGATGACTCAACACTTTGTTGATCTTGCATGGAGTTTCTGTAAAGGCATGAAAAAAAAACAATTAAGAAAAAAAAGTGAAACATATTAACATGGCCATACATCCATCCATCCTCTTGTTCTGGACTCAGGTCTTGAGGGCAGCATCTTGATAAAGAAGATCCAGACCTCTCTCTAAACAGCCACCTCATTCAGCTCTCCTGGGAGAACTCCAAGATGTTCAAAGACCAGCTGAGATATATGGTCTATCCAGTGTGTCCTGGGTCTTCCTTGAGGTCTCCTTTCAGTTGGACATGTCCAGAACATCTCCCTAGGGAGGCATCCAGGGTCCATCCTGACCAGATGTCTGAACCACTTCAACAGTCTCCTCTCAATGTGGAGGAGCAGCGGCTGTACTCTGAATCTCTCCTGGAGAACTGAACTTCTCACCCTATCCCTAAAGAGGGTCCAGCTACTCTATAGTGAAAACTCAAATAGACCTCCTAGATCTAGGAATGTAGATCGATCAGTAAACGGAGTTTCTCATTGCAGCTCAACTCCCTCTTCACCACAAAGAACCAGTAAATAGTCCACAATACTGGTGAAGCAATGATTTATCTTTTGCGTCTCATTATTCATTTACTCATAAACAAAACCCAAATACCTAAACTTGAGGCAGAACTTCACTCCCAACCTAGTAAGGACAGTCTATCCTTTTTATGACTGAGGACCATGGCCTCAGATCTGGAGATGCTGATCCTCATCCCAGCTGTGAACCGCTCCAGTGTGAGTTGGATATCACGATACAATGATGCCAACAGGACCGCAAATAGCAGAGATGGAATCTGGAGGCCACCAAACCAGACTCGATCCATCCCCTGGCTGCAATGACAAATTCTGTCCATGAAAGTTATGAACAGAATTGGTGACAACAAGCAGCCCTAGTGGAGTCCAACATGCACCTGAAGGAGTCCAACTTACTACTGGCAACAAGAACCAAACTATCACCGCTTGCATAGAGACTGAATGGTCAGTAGTAACGGACACCAATCCCATACTCACGGAGCACCCCCAGTGTACCTCGAGGAACATGGCCGAACGCCTTTTCCAAGTCCACAAAACACATGTAGACTGGATGGGCAAACTCCCATGACCCCTCAAGGACCCTAGTGAGAATAAAGAGCTGGTCCAGTTTTCCATGGTCAAGATGGAACTCACATTGTTCCTCCTAGATCTGAGGTTCTACCATTGATCGGACTCACTTCTCCAGCACCCCTGAATAGACCTTATTATCGATGGGGCGGCTGTGACTGAGTGGTTAGAGTAGTCATCCTCCAATGCAAGAGTTGGGGGTTTGGTTCCACCAGCAGTCACATGCCGAATTGTCCATGGGCAAGGCACTGAACCCCTCATTGCCTTCAATGTGTCCCGTCCATCTATGAATGTGATAAAGCACTGATTATTCGTTGTATAGATATAGAAGAGTGCTATATGAATGGGTAAATGAGGGCACAGATTGTAGTGCAAAGTGCTTTTGAGTATCTTGATTAGACAGAAAGGCGCTATACAGTCCATTTACCATTTACCTTACCATGGAGACTAGGGAGAGTAATGTCCCTATAATTGGAATACACCTTATGACCCCACTTTGTGAAGAGGGGAACCACCACCCAAGTCTGCCAATCCAGTGGCACTGCCCCTCAAGTCCATGCAATGTCCACACATGGCAAGCAAACTCTGCAACATCCAGAGCCTTGAGGAATCCAGGGCAGATCTCGTATAACCCCGGAGCCCTGCTGCCATGGTACTTTTTAACTACCTTGGCGACCTCAGCCCCAGTTATGGACAGACCAACCCCAAAGTCCCCGACTCAGCTTCCTCCATGAAAGACATGTTGGTGGGATTGAGAAGGTCCGAGAAGTATTCTCTCTACTTCCTGACGACATCGCTAGTTGAGGTCAACATCACCCCATCTTCAGTGAACACAGTGTTAGTAAAGCGCTGCTTTCCTCTCCTCAGCTGTCTGAAGGTTTGCCAGAATCTCCTCAAAGCCAAAACCAAACCAAACTCTTCCCACATCTGAACTTTTGCCTCAGCAACAACCAGGGCTGCAGACCATTTAGCTCACAGATACCCCTCAGCTGCTTCAAGAGTCTTACCAGCCAACAAGGTCCAATAGGACTCCTTCAACTTGACGGCCTCCCTAACCTGGGATGTCCACCACTGAGTTTGAGGATAGCTGCTGCAAGAGTCACTGACAACAATGTGGCCACAGCTCAACGCAGCTACCTCAACAATGGAGGTGAGGAACATGGCCCACTCAGACTCAATGTGCCCCCCACAGCTGGGATGCTACTCAGAGGTATGAGTTGAAGGTCCTTTGAAATAATGTTTTTGGGCCAAGGTAGAATGTGTTTTTGTTAAATCACTCGTTATATCATCTGTAATAACTTAGAATATGATTTGCATGGAAGGTCTTATCACCACCAAATATGAAAGGGAAATTTCTAGAAATTACATGTTATTGGTGAGCCTACGTGCAGTAATTACAGACTCCATAAAGTATGGGCTGGGGCCATGAGTTTTGGCTAGGCTGACCCAGAGTGTTCACTCTAATGGGTGACAAGTGAACAAGTGAGAGATAAACTATCTGTAGCGACGTACAAGGAATGTATAAAGTGTCTGTGTAAATATGTATGGGTTATGTTTTTTTGGATTTTGATGCTTTTCAGCTGATCACTATCGTTATGCTCTTAATAACCTCATTATTTGCTGTCAGACAGTTTCAGTGTACCCACAACATTTGGCGGCCAACATGGGGTGTCAAATGTTGCAGGTTTTTATCATCAGATTCTATCTTTCCCAGCAAACTCTCACTACACATTTGTGTCTATCAGGTCTGTCTGGCATCTTCCTCCACCATCTGATCCAACTCACAGGTGCTGATCAGTTGACAGCTCAGCTCCTCTCATCGCCCAAGTGTCCCAAACATACCTGGAGGTCCAGAAGAGTCAAGTTTCAGGAGGAGCTGCTGCGTCTCCATGTTGAAGAGTCCGATGTGTCCGCTGTTGAAGGACGTCACCATGTAAGCCGGCTCACAGCTCACCAGGTCTAATGAAGTAGGGACGCCCAGATCTGAACCAGAACACACAACAATGTTATCGGAACCAAAGATGAAGGAAGGATATATAGTTTTTGCTACTGAAGAAGGTTCTGGCTGAGAAACAGACATTTTGGTTCTGGACACAGATGCTTTCTCACCTCCACCCTTGTTAAAAACTGCCAGAGATGGTGCGACGTCGGCAGCGCTCCAAAGTCGGACTGTTCCATCAGCCGAGCAGGAGAGGAGGCGGTGGTGTGCCGAGCTGTAGACCAGATCCCAGACTGAGTCTGTATGTTCACAGAACGCCCCCCGCAGGACAGAGCACTCTGTAAAAAGACATTTGACCTTTCAATAAACCGTCCAACCCTGAATCTTTTACAGGAGTGACAGAGACAAAGGAGTACCGTAGGAGTCGTACGGGTCCACATTCGGGTTGGGGGTGTTCCAGCTCTGGACGGTCCCATCGACCCCCCCACTGAAGCACTGATCGCCGCTGGAGCTCATGGTGACGCAGAGAACAGCACCGCTGCACAGAGCAGTTTCTACTCAGACTTTTATTCTCTAAACGTGACAATAAAGCCTCTGAACAAAGTTTTCTGTCTGCAGAGCTGAGACAACCCTCCAGAACTCAACATCATCTCACCTGTGAGCTCTGAATGTGTAGATGGGTTCTACGTCTAACGCCGCACACCTGGAAGATCCAAACAGAACCACCAAACATCAGAACTCTGGGAATGGTCCTGTGTTTACCAGACAGAACCCTCTGAGGTTCTGACTCTCCTCCTCATCTTCAGGTTCAGAACTTCAACAAGAACTAAACCAGAACTTTGATCAGAACCGGAAAAAGAGCAGCTGTTTATCAGTTGGACAACAGCGCCCCCGTCAGGTCAAACTGAGAACAGCTTCTGCTGAAGTTTGATCAGTTTGACAGAAAACAACAAAAACAACAACAAACATTTTGTAAGAACTAACAGAAGGGTTTAACTAAGATTTCAACTTTAAATTAAACCTTTACATGAATTTGTATTTATTTATATTAGTTGAAACTCTCACTTCTTGACCGGCGCCGTCTTCTGAAGGTTCCACAGTTTCAGGGTGTGATCCTCGGACGCCGTGACCAGAACCGGTTCCACTGGGTGGAAAGCCAGACTCCGGACCGAGTCGAAGTGGCTCCGCAGGGTGAACTTTGGGTTCCAGGTCTTCCTCAGAGCATCCGTGTTGTTGGTGATCTGAGGAAGACGTGATTCAGAGAGATTAAAACAAAACATAATTACTGTAGATGTAATAATATTAAACAAAATTATTGTTGTTTAGATTGTGTTAAACTCTTTTGCCAGATCCCAGAGGGTTTATTTTCTTATTTTAGTGAAGGGCATTAAAACAAAATAATGTTATACAGCGTGGCTCAGTTGATAGAGCTGTTGCCTTTCAGTGAGAAGGTCCCCGGTTCAAATCCCGGTTCGGAATCTTTCTGGGTGGAATTTGCATGTTCTGTCTATGCATGTTTGGGTTTTCTTCGGGTCCTCCCACAGACCAAAAACATGCATGTTGGGCTGATTGGCAACTCTAAATTGTCCCAAGGTGTGAGAGAGAGAGAATGGTTGGTTGTCTCATTTGTCTCTATGTGTCCCTGTGATGGACTGGAGACCTGCCAAGGGTGTCCCCCGTCTCTCGCACAGTGACTGCTGGACATGAGCAACAGTGATTCCCACGACCCAAAAACGAAGAAGTGGGTAAAGATAATTGATGGATGGATGGATGTTATACATGAAAGAAAATCCACATGATGGGAATAAAAATCAAATGTTTAAAAGATGATTTTTAAACATCTACAGTTTCCTCTGACAGATCATTGAATTCATGAGTTCATTTTTCATTTGTTTCAGTTCAGACAAACATAATTAAATATGAAATATAAATGTATGTTTAAACACTGAACAAAAATATAAACGTTACTACCATGCCATCTCCAAAGGCATTTCAGAAAATTTGGCAGTACAGTACATCCAACCAGTCTTGCAGCCACAGACCACGTGTAACTACACCAGCCCAGTGTTCACTGTCCATAACATACGCCTGCCCCATACCATGACCCCACCGCCACCATGGGCCACTCGATTCACAAAGTTGACATCAGCAAACCGCTCACCCATACACACAGTCTGCAATTTGCCCTGTTCAGTGAAAACCGGGATTAATCTGTGAAGAGAACGTCTTTCCAACGTGCCATACGCCATCGAATTTGAGTATTTGTCCACTCAAGTCAGTTACAGTGATAAACTGCAGTCAGGTGGCGACCCTGATGAAGATGATGAGTATGCAGAAAAGCTTCCAGATCTACTGCCAAATTCACTGAAATGCCTTTGGAGATGGTTTATAGTAGAGAAATGAATATTCAAATCACAAGCAACATCTCTGGTGGACATTCCTGCAGTCAGCATGTAACTGCACGCTCCCTCATAACTTACGAGATCTGTGTCATTATGCTGTGTGATAAAACTGCACATTTTAGAGTGGCCTTTTATTGTGGTCAGCCTAAAGCACACCTGTGAGGTGGATGGATTATCCTGAAAAAGGAGAAGTGCTCACTAACACAGATTTACACAAATTTCTGAACATTTAAGAGAAAAAGGCCTTATGAGTACCGGTACACAGAAAAAGTCTCAGATCTTCGTGTTCAGCTCATGAAAAATGGGAGCACAAACAAAAAAAGTGTTGCATTAATGTTTTGTTCAGTGTAGTTAAAAACTTAAAAACGGAATTAAACGTGAAAGGCCGCTGTTTTATCGATCCCTCTTCCTCTTGTTTGGGTCTGAACTAGGATTCGTTTTGAGGAACTCACGTCAAAGCCCAGACTTTCTGCCTCGTTGGCGACTGTCAGTCCGGCCAGTTCTCCCAGACCCAGCTCATTGGACACGGCCTCATCCACTCGGCCCAGAAGGAACGACTTTCCTGACGACGGCAGGAATGTCATCGGCTCTATGGAGAAAAAACAGGTCTGAATGCCGAGCTTTGATTGGCTAACAGCAGACAGGAAGTTCAGGTTTACCATCTTCAGGACGGCCCACTTCCTGCTCGTTGAGTCTGGGTACGATGGACCGTGAGGGAGGCGTCATGGGGGCCGTCTGCATGGGGGGGAGCTCCTCGGTGTCCCGCAGGTTCGCCAACATGTCCTGGAGTTTGGACCGGTTTGGTCCTGGAAGAGGGAAGAGGAGAAAAATGTGACGACAGAGAACGTCTGCAGAGTGTCACACAGAAGAAAAAACTGACAAAAGCAGCTAAACAGAACCAGAACCGGGTCTGCTGCAGAATTTATTCCAACAGAAACTGGAAACAACCATCAGAAAACACTGAGCATAAAACTAGCAAACGGTATCAACTAATTTAGCTGAGATCTTAGGTCTGTTGGTTCTACACTGATGGTTGAATGATGGTGTGACTCCCAAACATCTAAAAGATCTAGAAAGAAACAAAACAAGTGGACTTCTGATCTGTGATTGAAGACGTTTTTCTTCAGGGGAGCTCCATAATTTAAAAACTGGACGGTGTGGAGTTCTGAGCTTCAACTTTAATGTGAAGCTCAGTTACAGCTGAACTCACAGGCAGATCACCTCTCATCCCTCTTGAGGGTCATCAGGAGACTAACCCTCTCCAGGGAGAATAAAAACTGTCAGAAATTTTAGAGGCTTTTAAATTTTGAGCAGGAACATTTGGTGAATCCTGATTTGTTCTTTGTTCTGAGATTTAAAACAATGCAGTTTAAATTAGGTTAATATTTTTATTGAATATTTCTGTGCTGAGCCACATGATGAAGATCTGGGAGAGAGACGAGAGGTGACCATTTGTGAGCAGCAGTATGGTTTCATGCCAAGAAAGAGCACCACAGATGCCATCTTTGCATTGGGGATGCTGATGAAGAAGTACAGAGAGGGTCAGAAAGAACTCCATTGTGTCTTTGTGCATTTAGAAAAAGCATATGACAGGAGGACATGTTAGACAGGTACAGGACATGTTAGACTGGTACATGACATGTTAGACTGGTACATGACATGTTAGACAGGTACAGGACATGTTAGACAGGTATAGGGCATGTATGAGGACAGCAGGACATGTATAAGGACAGCAGGACAGTAGTGAGATGTGCTGTAGGAGTGACAGATAGCTTCAAGGTGGAGGTGGGAGTGCATCAAGGATTGGCTCTGAGCCCCTTCTTGTTTGCTCTGGTGATGGACCGACTAACAGATGTTGTCAGGCAGGAATCCCCGTGGACTATGATGTTTGCAGATGACGTTGTGATCTGTGGTGATTACAGGGAACAGGTGGAAGAGAACTTGAAGAGGTGGAGGTATGCACTTGAAAGAAGAGGAATGAAAGTCAGCCATAGTAAGACAGAGTACATGTGTGCAAATGAGAGGGAGGAGGTGGAACAGTGAGGCTACAAGGAGCAGAGGTCACAAAGGTTCAGGACTTCAAGGACCTGGGGTCCACTGTCCAGGAAAATGGAGAGTGTGGTAAAGAAGTGAAAGAGTCCAGGCAGGATGGAATGGATGGAGAAAAGTTTCAGGAGTATGGTTGTATGTTGTATGGTCTGGAGTTGTATGGTCTGGAGTTGTATGGTCTGGAGACAGAGACACAGACAAAAAGACAGGAGCTAAAACTGGAAGTAGCAGAAATGAAGATGCTGAGGTTCTCCTTAGGAGTGACAAGGATGGATAAGATTAGGAATGAGATCATCAGAGGTACAGCACAGGTTGAAGAAATGGGAGATATAGAGAGGCCAGACCTAGACGGTTTGGACATGTCCAGAGGCGGGACAATGGTTTGGACATGTCCAGAGGCGGGACAGTGGGTATATTGATAGAAGGATGTTAGAAATGCAGCTGCCAGGAAAAAGACAAAGAGGAGATACTGTATATAGATGCAGTTAGAGAGGACATGGAGATAGTTGGAGTGAGGACAGAGTTAGATGGAGGAGGAGGACTCACTACTAGAGACCCTGCAGAGGGAAAAGCTGAAAGATTAAGATTAAATAATCCTGTGACCGTGGACAGGGGGCACTGTTGGACCTGGGTCAAAAAGAAAAGTTCAACTTTAACAGGAAGAGGTGGAAAATAAGGTTTCAGAACAAAAAGATTTTAAACGATTAAATGTAAATAAAAACAGCAGGTTGGGTCAGAAACATAAAGATATGGGTGAGGAGGAAGAACCGGTCCAGTCCAGGACGTACTTTTCACGCCCTTCTTTCCTTTCCGCTCCTTCTTGTACTGCTCCTTCAGCTGAGTGATCAGACCCTGGTCCACGTCCCAGCCCAGGTTCTCCAGAGGAGACGGCTCATCTTTCTCTGCAGGAGGAAGAGAAAACATACCGTCTCTTCACCCAAAACACACCGGGAAGAACCAGGTCGGAGGAACAAATGGGTCTGAGAGTCGGTCAGAACGATTCAGATCAATTTGTTCTTCAGTCATCACAAGGTTTTAAACATCAGACAACAGAAAAAATAAATACAGGATAAAATAATAAAACGCTTGGTTCAATTGTCCCTGTGATGGACTGGAGACCTGTCCAGATGTCCCTGTGATCAATGGATAGATGGATGGATGGGTGGGTGAATGGATGGATGGATGGATGATGAATGG